AAGCTTAAAAAGTTTGTACATGCATATTGATACTACGGGCTAAGAATTGCTGGGATAAATTCTGTTGATCTAACTGCTGTGTTTTTTTCATTCTGTATTAATATATTAAAATTCTTGGTTTAGGCTGTGTAGGAAATAGGGAAAACTGATGAGAATTAATTAACTTCTGTCAGTGTGGCCTTTTTTTGAGTTTCTCTAGAATCCACTCTATTTTTGTAAAAATGCATATATTTCTGATTTCATAATGAGTGTTTCTCATTCCTCATTCAAGGAAGATTCTTCCTAGGACAGGCGTTATGCATGTTGCGTCCTTTTTTATTGCTTAAACTAACCAAACACTCATTACAGTTTTTATGACAGTTAATGGTGTAAAAATCTTATTTGGTTCTGGGAGAGGAAAAAAAGGGCCGAACTGAATGTGCTTATGGGTTAGAAAAGCAAGGCTCCAAAATAAGATGTGATGGTCCTGGTTGCTACATGGTGTTCTTCAAGATTAGCCTTGATGGCAGCAGATTACTGCACCATGACACTAGAAAACAAGGACAGGAAGTGCTCATAAAATAACACTTGTTATGTCACATTTGGTTGAATTGTTCAGTTCAATCAAAAGTAAGTGTAGATCCTGAGAGAAACCAGTGATTCCTGACAGGAATTTACTGTGAGCTGTTGAAAAATGCTTGGCTAAAAAGAAAATTCCTTCAAACTGATGTTCAATGTCGAGCTGGGTGTCACTAGGTGTGTTGTCTCATTTATTTGCAGAGAATGTCTCCTTCCAGTCTTGCAGCTGCATGTTTGCTTTGTCGTAAACACATGGACCATAATCTAAGCTGGATAATAAACCAAAACCTTTGCTGTACATGTCTGTTTAAATGTGGGATACTCCTGAATTTTTAATACGGTAGCTTAGCAAGCTGTAACCAGATCTTTCTAATGGATCATTGAGCGTTACAGTATTCTTGACAAAAACTAGTTCTTTGTTTCTCGTTTGAATGAGATAGCGGTGTGCTTTATTCTGAGAGCTAGCTACATAAGATCTTTATATGTAAATGCAAAGATTTAAATTGCAGTTGCACAGAAAGAATGAAGAAATAGGACTTTGTCAAGAATCTGATATGATAACACTGTATATATGCTTTTTTCTTTCCTGGATCTGCAACATAGGTTCAATGCTTGATATAATAAAGTATATTGTCAACAGAGGAGAGCACAAAAATGGTGTCCTTGAAGAGCCCATAATAGCAACAATTCTTAAAGAAGTTTTGGAGGGTTTAGACTATCTACACAGGAATGGGCAGATTCACAGGTAGGAGCATATATACACAGTGAAAAGTATTTTCAAAGTTGTGTGTATAATTTGTTGATACTGGTCAGCTGCAGTTGCTTGACTAAGCAAATTGTATTGCCTCTTTCACAATGTTGTAAATGTGATCAGGAATTATCAAATGATAACGGTTGGGCAGATGCTGTAATCTTGACTGCAGTTTGTCACTAATACTTAGTATTTGCTTGGTCTTTATCCTGTTTGTCTCCCTTATAGTTAGGATAGGTCTGTGCTGCACTAAGTATGCCAGAGCTGTGTTCTATACTCCTGTGCCTGCTGGTACTCCAAATAGCTAGTCTGAGTCTAGTTTATGTGATGTGGTCTGTGACTTGGTTATTGTGTTGCACAGTAAACCTGCAGTCTTGGGCACTTGGGCACTGCTATATAAATGTGAAATTTATTTTTTCCTGGTAATCAGTAATGTCTATTACAGCTCTACAGACCTCTCTATGACCACACATGAAGCTGGGATTGGTACTACAGAACTGCATCTTGGTGTATATGGATCTAGTGATTGTTCTTTTCTATATATTCTCTCTCCACTGACTTCCTCAGTGTAAATTGTGCAGGTCCCCTGGGGTGGTCTATACATGTCTGCTGTAGCATTCCACAGGTTGCTTCCACTGTTTGGGTGTTGGAAGTGCTGTACTCTGACCTCCCTAATTAATTTTACTGAAGTGAATTTGCCATTTAAGGAAGGCAATTTCCCCCTTTCATAAGGGAATCTTTTAAACAAAAACCAGATTCGCTGCAGGCAGAACCCTAAGAGTGGAGGTAGTGTAGATGGAGCACAGTAATTGTTCTTTATGTGTACTTCGTATGTCTCATCTTAGAAATGAACTGCCTCTGATGTAAATCAAGAACTATTTCTTCCTTTTGCAGAGAGAAAATTGAGATAAATGGAGAAATAAAGAACAATTATCTTGACTTCTGGTCTGGAATGCCAAAGATCTGCCTCAAACCTTAATTCATAATCTTCTATGAATCATTCTATGACATTGTTGAGGAAGGAACATTCATTAGCTTTTAAGGATAACAGGACCCTTTGAGGTCAGATTTGGGAATTCCCCTTGTCTATTCTGAAAGGACCTTAAAAAAGTAAAAAGAGAGAGATACATTTGTCACATCTGAGATTTCTACTTTATTATAACATCTAATTTTTAAACTGTGCGGTACCACAAAAGTCCTGTTCAAGACAATACCGTGTGTGAAGGTTGTAAGTAAAAGCAGTGGTAGTTCAGGGAACACTGTATTAGGTGATATTTGCCAGTTGGAGATGTTTCCAAAATTGTTCAGTGATTTTGTTCTGTTGTTTTGATGCGTTCTTGTTTATGCATAAGGAAACAGGCTATGTTAGCTTTCAGTAGCAGAGTGTGAATTATTTTCAGTAGATCTCGGAAAGATTGATTTGCTCAAATTCTTAATGTTTATGATATATTCTGTATGAAAGATTTATCCTGTACATTAAGAATGGGATGCACATTTCTATTAAAAAAACTCAGCCAGAAACTTTTCTTCTTAATATTAGTGTGAATAGTGGGCTAAATGGATATAGTTGACTGCTAAGCACGTGCTGAATTTCTGACAGATTCATTGTGAAGTAACTTTTCATCATGGTACCCTGTAGCAAAATATGACTGCTATTCCTGAGCTTTAATAGTGTCATTGCGTAGAAATCTACAGTATCTTTACCTTTCTTGAAGGTGAGTCTTCTCTGAAGGTATCAAAAAGGAGAACTTTTTTTCAACTTTTCTTTTTCATTAGTGGTGCAGTTGGATGTAAGAAAGCATTAAATCTTGGTTTAAAGCTCTGAAAGCTCTCATTTTGTGAGATTAGATTTATAAAAGTCAAAAGACTATGGACCTACATATTTCTGTTCTCAAAATCTATCCCTGAATTTTGCTTATTTTATGCCAAAGCTAAATTTGGGTCTTTTTATATGAGAGAGAGAGTTTGTGAGAGTTTGAGTTCTGCACTCTGCTTTATTGTAAATCTGTTACATTTTTACACTTCAGTTCCCGTCTGTCTTTTAAATTTTAAAATATGATCTAGTGAAACTAATATGTAATATTTATTTACATCAAATATGCACCATATGTATTTTCATACATAAAAGTAACCTCTGTTTGTACATTCTAGAGATTTGAAGGCTGGCAACATTCTTCTTGGTGAAGATGGCTCTGTACAAATAGCAGGTAATGGAAGTAGTAGGTTAGTGGCTGAATAAAAGGAAAAGGTAATTGCAGCTGGATTAGAGGCAACAAATACAAGTTTTTCTGCTGGCTTTTAACTACTCCTTTTAGAGTGCTGTAGCTGCAAGTTATCCAGTTTCAGATTGCAGGATTCTTGGTTAATGGTACATGATTTAGAAATTATTCAATATCTTTCTGTGTCCCATCAAATATATAAGGAAACTTTTTAATGTCCTCTTAATGCTTCCTTTTGAATCACCCATGTACTTTAAACAGCTTGCAAATGGTATCGCTGGTTCTCCGTAGTACTTTGTCTCCTATGTGACAGGAAGCTTGCCACTGTCGGTCATGTCTTAACCTGTATTTTTTATTTCTGGCTATTCAGCTTTTCCTTATATGCAATGATTCCTCTCCAGAAAGCTATCACTAATACCAGCATTGATTTTTAGGGCATTAAAAACTTAGAAGCAGGTGTTTCTGAGGCTGTTCATGGTTTTCAGAAATACAAACAAAACCTGTCTATTCTGTAACTTACAGATTTTGGGGAAAAAATGGGATGTTTTTATTAATCAGGCAAGCTGCAGAGAAAGTTAGAAAATACTGCTTGATGCTTGCTTCTCACTTGCCTACTGTATTTCTGTGCGTTTTGGTATTCTGTGTAGAAGAGTTCCAGAATTTGAGTCTGTGATGCCTAATGGTTCTTTAGTGGAAAGTAATGATAAAACTACATTTTCTGTAGTTACTAAATTTTTGTTTTCCATCCTTAAAATCAGGGAACAATAGGAAAACAGTAGGAAAATAAAAATGGAAGTAGGTGTATAATAAACTACTTGATTTAAGTAGAACTGGATTATAAATAGCACGGTCTAAAATACTCTTCATATAGCTCCATTCAAAATGACGTTGGTAATCTGCTCTTCTTCCATTTATCCCCTACCTCTCCCATACAGCTGTCACTGATGTAGTGACAGGTTAATAGAACACTAAGATTTTCTGCTATTTTGGAATTTGGCAAAAACTACTCGTGTCCTGGTCTACTGTTAAATATATATATTGTTGATCACTTCGGTTATCTTTGATTTGTCAAATCTCCATAAGTATTTAAGTTATATATAGTATTCCTCCTTGTTCAAATTGCATTCAAATTTAGTAGCTATACAGAAGTAGCTCATTATCTTTGAACAATAGCAGATGCAAACCTTTCGAACCTTGGCTCAAAGTGCACATTTGAAAACCTTAAGTGACAAATGAATTGGAGTCCTTTGCATTCAAGAAGACACATACTAGGAGGTTAAACTGGAGGATGCGGGTCTCCCAGGTAAAACTATACTATCTATTCTGTAGCATTTCAGGAACAGTGTGTCATGAAACAAAGGTAAGATCTGCAATGGAGAGTTTCTATAAGTAGACCTTTATGATTTGACTTAATTTCGAAAGTGTAAAACTTGCTTTGTTATCGGTAGTTTAACAGATTTTTACTTTTTTCCTCCTTCCCAGATTTTGGCGTTAGTGCATTTTTAGCAACGGGAGGTGATGTTACTCGTAACAAAGTAAGGAAAACATTTGTTGGTACTCCATGTTGGATGGCCCCTGAAGTAATGGAGCAGGTATTCCTAATACTAAAAAAAAAATTAAAGTATTTTCAGTCTTTAATTTTTGGCACTTGACATCACCACCTTGTTTTTCCTTTCTGGTTCCATTCCAGGTGCGAGGTTACGACTTCAAGGCTGATATGTGGAGTTTTGGGATAACAGCCATTGAGTTAGCAACAGGAGCAGCACCTTATCACAAATACCCACCTATGAAAGTAACAATCATTTTGTATTACTTAATGCTGTTAGCTGTGTTATTAATACTGCTAGAGAGTTAGCACTAGTTCATTTTCAATAGCAACTCAGGATACTTAAACATATGCATTCTGTGGAATACTTACTCTATTTTAATTTCTACATGTTTTGAATTGATTTTTCTTACAGTACCTCTTTATTTGATTTACTGTAGGTGTTAATGCTGACGCTTCAAAATGACCCTCCCACTTTAGAGACAGGTGTAGAGGACAAGGAGATGATGAAAAAGTATGGCAAATCCTTTAGAAAACTAATTTCATTATGCCTTCAAAAAGATCCTTCCAAAAGGTAGGTCATTCTTGCCATGTACAGTGGAATTATTTTTGAAAATACACAGAATACTTAAAGTTCCAGTATTTAAACATCATCTTTAAGTGTATGATTTGAATGTTGTAAATAGCAGCCGTCAGTCATTGTCATCTGGGGAGAAGAAATTGCTTCTTAATTGTTGCTTAAGTTTTCTTCTTCTGGATTGTTAACCTAATTTGTTTATATGTAAATACACTGTTGAATTAAACTCTGATCAAACAAAAGTCCTTGCTCTACATCTTAATTTCTTATCTGAGGCAAGACATAAATCTTGATATTGTGCATAAGTCTAACAGTCTCTTGGCCTTTAAAAGAAATTTAAAAAAAAGTTATGTTGATTTTTCTCATTTTGTGCCATAAGCTTAGTATTTCCTTTAACTTATTAAAATTACTTTTTAAGAGGTATTTATTTTTTTACTATAAATTTAGGGGCTCCAAGCTTGTGAGTTTTCCTCATATTTATGTAGGCAATTGCATATCATAGTATCTCTGTGATTTGTTCTTTTTTGTGATGTTTTGTGAATGGGATAGCCAAGATGATGAAAACACTACATATCTATTCCAAAACCATTGCTGAGGTCCCAAGTTCCCAGAACAATTAATTTATTTATCCTTCATTCATTTTTATGCAGACCCATTTTTGTAGGTTTCTTTGGCTGAAGATTTGGAGGAAGCACATTCTAATTAACGTTATCTCCTAAGGGTATTTAATATATCACTTTTTTAAAGAGTTTCGGAGCTGGTATTTCTGGGGGAAAAAAGATTGTTCTGAGAGAGCAATCCTAATTGAGTACTGTGTGGGTCTTTTATAGTGTGTACTTCACTGATTTTACACTAGCTTAAGTCCAGGATATTGTTGTAGGGAGTGAAGTTGAAAAGGTGGCAGCAGCAACACAAGAAAACAAGTATAATTAAGAAAAAAGATTATGTGGCAACATCTTTATTCTTGAAATCCTTCAAATTCTTTCTTTCACTTTTCTTCATCATTTTCAGATTCCCAGACCCCTTACAATCAGTGGTCTTAGCAAGTCCTGATGCTTTAGGCTTAGGATTGCAGTTTGGCTGCTTACAGATGAGAATCAAATGTGTTCTGGATAATTAAGCTTCTTTTAGTTTCCAGTGTCCAGCAATTTTCAGGGCAAGGTTAAATTGATATGAAAACATGAGAAGTAAATAATTAAAATGGTTTTCCTTCTCTCCTTAAATACATAATGCTGAGTTACCTGATCTTGTAGTTGTGATGTTAGTGTTTAAACTAATTACACTGATATTTAAACACATGCAATATCTTCATACTCAGGATTGCCTTGAATTGAACAATCAGACCAGCAGATAGGTGATTAGATCTGTGTGCCAGTTACTCTTAACTGAGGAGCGTCCTTATATTGCGGGGTCATTACTAGTTTTTATGTTTTTCCCAAGCCAGGATTTAGTTTTGAACTGAGAAACCTCCATAGTCATCATGTCAATTGTGGGAGAAGCGCCTGCTCTTTATGGCAAATTCTAAGACTGGCATTGCACTGTTGTTGTCTCAGACCACACTGGGGATCTGTGTGTAGGCTTTTCTTTCTCTCCCCAGTGCCAAGGATCCTACTTACAGTCCTCAGCTGCAATTCACTGCCGTGGCCTGTGTGGAAAACAGGCCCAGAAAGCATCTCCAGACTAGTTCAGAAGTGTCTGGCATAATTAATTGTAGAGGAATGGTGAACACTAGTTTGGATAAAACTTTACTAAGAATCTAGCTTCTAACTGTGCATATCCCTGTTTTGAGGTGTGGTAGTACTGAATCACTGAAACTTGTCTTAAAGTTAAGACTTAATTTGAGACAGAACTTTAAAAACTTTGACACAGAAACTGATTTTTTTTTTTTTTTGTTTTTTTTTGTTCCTCTTCCTTTTGCTCATCCAAGGTTTATGTGTGACTACTGCTAAGCCTGGTGGTCTCTACAGTACCAATAGTAGCTCCATTATTGTACAGTTTGGTGCTTTGGAGGGGAAGAAAAATAAGTGCTCTCTGGAACTACTGTCTGTGTCTAAGTTGGATGCTTTTTGTTGATGTCAGGAGTTGTTTCATTATTTCTAATGGGATTGAACTGATATGTACATACACGCTCCTTAATACTCTTTTCTTCACGTACTCTTCAGATGTGTCCTCAGAGAAATAAACTAGCTCAGATTTCGGGGTTTTTTGACACTGAAATTTTCCAAATTGAATCTTTCCATTGTCTTATATAGTTTGTGCTATATCCAATCTCTTGCTTTAATTCAAGGGCAAAATTATAGCAGATGTTGCTTCTGTTCATTTAGAAATGATGAATCTTGGAGAATTTGGCTTCCATAAATTTAGCTGTGTCAAAATTAGTCTTGGGTAGTGGTATGGGCTCCTAATGGAAAGGATGAAAAGAACCTGGAGGATATTCATCCCAAGAAATGCTTTGCTCTCTCTCCAGAGTCTGCTTCAGTACCAGAGTCTGGCTTTGGCTAGATAAGTGGCTTTTTAGGTCCCTGGAGCTAGGCAGGACAAACCCTGCTGTTGGAATCACTTCAGTAGCTGAGAGATTGTGATTATCAGTTGAAAACATCAAAAATATAAACTTCACAGTGATGGAAAGAGACTTGAACAGAACTGCAAGTGAAATGTCTAGATTTTGACCTTTGATTTTTATTTGTCTATTTGGTTGGAAGATGCTCCTGATGGTTCTCTTTTTGGTTTATGCATCATGTTAATAGTGTCAGTATAGTTTCTTGTGAATACCTGCTGACATCAATGAAGTATAAGTATGCCAGTAGCAGGTATTGATGCTACTGTTTGGAAAATGTCATTGTTGTTTTATTGCTGTGGAGCAAAGTTCAGTTGCATTCATAGAGTCACTTGGCAAAGAACATGATACCTGACTCTGGTTGGTTGGTTGTTTTTTTTAAGGGTAAAATGCATTTGTGTTGAAAGAAAGAGGGAGAACCTGGCAATTTAGAGACTGATTTTTTTTTTTTTTCTATTTTTTTTGGTATTTTTTTGCCATAAAGAGGCTTAATTTTTTAATTTGTGGTGAGTATGTGTGAATTAATTCAGTAGCTGTTATCATTCATTCCCCATTCATACAGTACTAATTCAAAAGTATTAGAGACGTACCATTTAACTAACGTCTTGTACTGTATTCACTGAGAGGGGTCTTTGTTTTCTGTTCTAATTTATTATTGATCTTTCAGGCCCACAGCAGCAGAACTTTTAAAATGCAAATTTTTCCAGAAAGCCAAGGTAAAACGTTTAACCCTATGAGTAAATTTTGCTCTGCCTTAAAACCTACATGAAATTTATTCTTCCCTTGTATTGATTTTTAACTTGCCAAATGTTGGTTTTGCAGAATAGAGAGTACCTGATTGAAAAGCTTCTCACTAGAACGCCTAATATAGCACAAAGAGCAAAAAAGGTGAGTGTATTCACATCTTTTTCTTGACTGGTATGCAAGAGAAAGCAGGGACTGTTTGGTTGCCTTACATTGTAGTTGACTGAGACATTGTCTTATGCAGTCCTTCAAAGCTGGTGACTGTTGAATGAATGGTTTCTGCAGCCTAGCTTTCTCCCATAAGCCTTGGGGCATCTTGACTTCCTTTCTGGCCTTGCCAAAATGATATGTGGTATTTGTGATCATACATGATGTGATTTTTTTTTTTTTTTTTTTTTTCTTCCCCCCCTCACTCCCTTTTAGAAAGCTACAGGTGAAATGGTTGTGCAACTGAAAAATTCTCTGCGAGTGAATAGGTTCATAAACTGCGGAATTCATATCTTCATTGATCACCTAGAGAAAGGGTGAAGATAGTATAAATGGTATTTATTGAGGACTACCTGTTTCTTTGGATTATTTCAAATGTGACACCAAATATATGGAAGTCGGGTCCAAACTCAGCAAGAGTGCTGCTGAGTTATTCAGACCAGTGGAGCCTTATTCCACAGGTGAATGGAGTTAAACCCACAGCTATGGCATATGCTGGTATTTCTGTGGTGCCTTTGGCACTTACGTGAATGCGTTTACCAGGTGATGTGCAACAGAACTAAAAAAAAGATAATTCTTAACAGATTTAACAGGTAAGTATTTGAAGCAAGCTACTCTTCATGAGAACTAATGAACAGGAATGAATGTAGACTCCTGCTTATTGTGTGTGAGAAATTATGGAACTCACTTTCTATAGTGACTTAACTCACCATGTCTCTTCATTATAAGGAACTTGCTCAGAGATTGCTGAGCCTCTGCAGGTGACAGGATAGTGTGCTGAGTCCAGTTTTCTAAAAACAGGCTTTCTGGGAGGGTGTTTGAGGAGAGTGCTTCAGAAAAGGAACAGTTTCAGCCTTTGTTGGCACATCAGTTAGGCTTCAGTTACCTGGACTGGCACTTGTAAGTTCTTCGGTTGTCTTTGTGAATATTGGTTTGGTGTAATTCTACAACACTGAAATGTTCCTGCAGCTGGTGTCTTATACTTGGAAGAGACTGTCAGCAAGATCTGAATGCTTTAAGTTCCTTCTAATCTTCTTTTAGGTGGACATAATTTGGGAAATCAGTGGCAATGATGGGGCTTTGTGAGAGATTGGAGTAGAAAGCTGGAATGAGAGGGCTTGTGGAAGGGGTAGCAGGCTGAGCAGGTTAGCCTGTGCAAGATGCAGAGGAAGGGTAGGAGTCGTTCAGCTATTTGGCCATCTGGTGGCAGCAATGCCCACATAAAAAAATACCTAGTGGGGAAAAGTCATAGTCGTTTGTTTTTCATTTTACATCTTGGGCCTTACAGGAGTAGTTTAGACATGATCTAGCACCAGCTAGGTTTCTGATAGAGCATGTGCCTTGTGAGAGTCGTTTCCTAGTTGTGTCATTAGGTCAGCTTTAGAGACTGCATGTTAACACATACATACATGTATGTATACTTATTTAAATAATTTAGCTCCTGGAATTGCAAAATTAGTAGCCTTCCATACACCACCAGAAACAGAAAGAATTGTCCAAAAAGTCATTCAGAAAACTGATTTGGAAGAAGTATATTTCTTAAGAAATAAAAGCTGAACACTGCTAGAGACAAATCAGTAGGTCTTTTAATTACAGCATAAGTGGAAAAAGGTAGTTAGGTTTTAGCTAGTGAAAACGATAAATAATTTATATTTTAAAAGGACACAGTATTAAAATTCATCAGGGATTTAAAATTTAACTCACTTGTTACAACTTTTCATGTAGTTGCTGTTTTAACATACCATGAAATATAAATGTATTTCAATATTAAAGCTGTGGGGTTTTGTTTTAAAAAGCTTGTGTAAGTAGATTTCAGTTGCTCAAACATTAACATGTAAAATGTCTAAGAGGTCACTCTTGAAAGAAGTAACCCCTGTAATAGAAAAAAGAATGTCACTAGGGCAAGAGATGGGAAGGAGATGGTGTCGTCACTGCTTAAATTATCTTCTGTAGCTCTTGGTGTGAAATGCCTATAACTAATGATCTGTAGCACTGCTGCTAGCAGAGATGTCAGATCTGCCCTGCACTAATTTAATTTTTCTTGCATTTAGCACACGTATAATTACTTTGCCTTGTTGCCCAGAACTCCAGCTGCAGTTTAGTTTTAACTTTAAATTCTTTTCTCTTGATGTAGTGTTCTCATGTTTTGCTTCTGCCTTTACAGCGTACACTCGGCAACTGTTTTGACTAAATAGGAGTTCAGGTCTGTTTGTGAAACCCTGAAAGCAGGTACACATGATCTTGTATGTGTGAGGAAAGCATTTGATTCTATGAAGATGTGTCCTGGTTTTAAAACCCAATTTGATAATTTGATAACACACTTATATTGTGCGTTTAAAATACTGGTTGCATCAGAGTGGTAAACTACATCTTTGTGCCCATATTCCCCCTGTCCCAGTGTTTCTTTATTTGCTTTTAATTCTGCTAATTTTGAAATGATGCCTTGGCACTATCCTAGTAATCAAGGATAACACTGAACCACTTCTGGAATTGACTTGCCCAGGAGGAACATGTCTTGCTGCCTCCTGTGCAGAACCTGCTTAAGTATGTACTAGTACTGATGCACAGCAATGAGTGTTAAACCATGCAACTTCTTACTGGCAATTCTGGGTTTCATTAATGTGACTGCTCACTTGGAGAGCATTACTGGTGTCAAGAAGAACTGGAGAAAAGGCTGTGGTGAGTGGTCTGAGCTTAGTGTGTATGGTGAGAGGGGACATTCTCTAAGGCCATACTTTTGTCCTTGATAGAAATGTGGGACCCTTGATTACAGCCTCTGTCTTGTTAGATGGTGTGATGGTAGAGCAGCCTGCCCTGTCCTGCTTGGATCAACAGCTTAGCAAGAGTTTAGAAACACTGTTTATTAACGCGTGTTGAAGTCGTTTTCATTTTGAAATGAAAATGAATGCTAAGTCATTTCATTTGTAATTAGAATTGCTGTATTGGAATAGAGGAAGTTTGAAACAGCTTCTAGAATTGCAGTCAGTTTTGAAATCTTGTCACACTAAAAAATTAATTATAACTGTAAGTACTCTGCATACCCAAAGGCCCTGGGTCAATTTTGTGGTTTTATAATCCTGTTTCTTTAATTTTGAAAACCTCCTGCATGACTACCACTTTTACAAAGTGAACAGGGAAAAACATGTATCTGCATTTCATTTTATTGCTGTCTGAAGTGCTGCTAGTAAAAAGAAAAAAACTAAAAAAAAAATATGAGTAATAATTGGGCTTGAAATCTATTTTTGGGAAGCTGGTATTGCTCTGCGCTATTAATAGAAGTTCTTTAGAGCTCAGACTTGTAAGTTACTGGGAAAACTTGTGACAGCATGAAGAGATGATTAGTGTGAGTGATACCAGTCTTTATTAAAACTTCAGTAGAAATACCCTTACTGATGGGTTAGAATTCTAGCTCTGCAGTACATCTAGTTTAGGGAAATTATCATATTACCTTATAGAATAAATTAACGATCCTTTGAATTTAATGAGGAAAATATCATTAGATCCCAGATTCCTTGGATAGTACTAACAGCATGATTGCACCTCAGCAAGACATACGTACACAACATTTCCTTGTTTCAGTGATGGGTTTAATCTGATAGATGCATCTCACCAATGATGGGTGTTAGTACAGGTGGACTCCAGACTTTCTGAAAAGCAGAGAGCAACATTAGTTTGAGCTCAGATTGCTAATAAAAATGTGTATTCATGGCTATGATTCTTTACACTTTTAAGAAATGCTTAGTTAATTAATACTGATGTGTAAAGAGAAGGGACAGGTGCTATACTGGAACACTTGGAATCACAGAATCATAGAACAGTTTCAGTTGGAAGAGACCTTCAAGATCATCAAGTTCAACCTTTGTCCTAGCTCTATCAACACCACTAAACCATGTCCCGAAGTACAACATCTACCCGTCTCTTAAACAGTTCCAGGGATGATCACTCCACCACCTTGCTGGGCAGGCTGTTCCAATGCCTGACAACCCTTTCAGTAAAGAAATTCTTCCTAATATCCAGCCTGAACCTCCCCTGGTGCAGCTTGAGGCCACTTTTTCTGGAAGACAGCAGCTGAACTCATAAGTATGTGTTTGATAAGACTTTGTGTGTGGGAGGCCCCTCTAATGCAGAGGATTAATTGTTAAGTTTACCCAGAACACTGCTATAAATGAAAAAAATAGTTCAGCTGTTTTTCTATTGTTGTATATTACTAGAAAAAAAAAAGTAGAGGAACAATTTGCATTCAGACCGTGTTGACTTTTTTGCTTATTTTCAGGAAGTAATGGAAACACTTTTTCCATAAAATGTAAGTTTGACAAAAATTCATGTAGTCAGAACGTAGTGCCTGTGTTAGTGGGTAGTAGAAGTGGAAAGTGTTCTAAGTGGCAGACACATGCAGTTGCACAAGCTTTCTTTTCACATTTCAGATAAAGAGTTTGCTGTCAGCATTTCTGCCAGGTATACTTAAATGCAGTTGTGCCATAAGCTGCAAGGAACTTCATACAGTATATGGGTTTGTCAGTCCTTTCTTTCATAGAGTGGTTTTACCATCTGTATAGTTTCTGAGTTTGAATTTTGTGCCCTCTCAAATGGAGCTAGTCTAGTACAGAATAGACGAACTTTAAAAGAAACTATGGAATAGTTGATTCAGTTGAGTGTCTTTTGTACTTCAGATGGCCATAAGCATCTCTGCAATAACTTATATTACTTGTTTTGGCAGGGTTTAAAAGCTCACACGTGATTCATCATAATCGTTAAAAAGTAATGCTCTCCTGTATTGGATAGTGTTTTGGTAGCGGGGGGATTACAGGGGTGGATTGTGTATGAATTGTCCACTTCTGTTTGGTGTTGTGATGAAGTTAATTTAATT